TATAGTAGAATGAATACCAAAGTATAAGTGTGAAAGCTGTTGTTTGTGTGTATTTATATCTATAGTAGAATGAATACCAAAGTATAAGTGTGAAAGCTGTTGTTTGGTGTATATATTTTCATTGTAAAATCTTTATCAAAGTATAAGTGTGAACGCTGTTGTTTTGTGTGTATTTATTTTTATTGTAGAATGAATACAAAAGTATAAGTGGGAACGATTTTGTTTTGTGTGTATTTATGTCTATCATAGAATTTGTCAGACAATCATTACCTTTGTGATGAGCGAATATCATTATATAATATATTCAATAAACTATTCATAAGACTGTTTTGGTTTAAACTTTGTGTTTATTTTCATGTCAATATTTACCAAATATTCCTGACCTTGCATTCTACATCAGATTGCCCTTTTTAAAAAAGTCAAATAGAAAAAAAATTGCTGAAACCCTTTATTTCACCATTATGGTAAAGTGAAGCACCCCCGATACACCCTACATTTCTCTTCCCCAGACTTTATTATTGTAATTTTTATATTCAGGACATCAAAGTGAAGTAAAGTAAAACATATTTGGTTTAAAAAAGTAAAACAGAAAAAGTTATGAGAAAACCCTTCATTTCACCATTATGGTAATGTGAAGCGCCCCTGCCCCACCCTAGATTACTCTACCCCAGACATAACTTGTCATTACTAACTACGTAAGTTTAAGTTTTTAGTATTTTATCGAGATATTTAAAGCAAGATATTTTACTCCGCTTGTTCCAGTCTACTCAGCTGGAAATGAGTATGTGGTTGGGCAGTGCTAGAATCGTTGAATGTTAGCTGTTAGCACCGAAATGGCAGCACCGGCTGTATGCTCCCAAGGGAGTTGAGAAAGATAATGGCTGGTTGCAAATGCCCTATAACCTAGAATTATAATGTGAGAACCGCTTTGAGACCACCTACGAACTAGGTTATGATTAAGCGGTGTATAAGAACCTCGGATTATTAATATTTGAAATTGAGCAGCAGCCCTCTTTATTTTTTTAATTTGTACAAATCAAGGTTTTTATACACATCTCCTGTTTAAACAGCAGTTTTCCATCGCTTTTCTCCAATGAGTCCAAGGCGGATAAAACAGTTGTTAACGCAGTGTATATCATGTATCTATTACCAAACTGTATAGGTAAAATGTGTCTTACGTTCATCTTACAAACAACACACTATCAAGATGAGAAGAATTAAGCGTGTCTATCATTGTATTCCATGTGTCGGCTATCCCAAAGGTAGTGAACATCATCTGGCGTTAATCCGTGAACAACCCGGAAACCGTTTACTTTCACTTTCTGCAGAGGCCCGGTATTATTTATTTGTTCGTAAACAAAAGTATCGATTGTTTCTACAGATATTTGTAATAGATATGCCACCATTCCGACATAGACATCTTCGAATTTGAAGCTACGGGCTGTTTTCATCATGAGGTACATTTTGTTTGCTGTGTGTGACGTCATAAAATATCCGGGGCCTCCGCAATATGGCGGATAAGTATTAAAAGGATACTGGTCAAGAGAAACTTTAAATTTGTCCCCCTCTGCGTCAAGGTATCTGTATGGTGGCACACCGTATACACATTTTCCATGAATTACGTCATCTGACAAGTATGTGTTTTGGATTACTTTGAGAAATTCAAGGTCAAAATAGACATCGTCGTCCATTTTGAAGAAGAAGCGTGGTTCAAAACAGAGCTCAGTCACCCATTTGAAAGCTGCGATTGTTTTCTCAACTAGGTTATAATAACTTTCCGGGATATCTACCTGTATTATATCTCCATAGAGAAAAACTTCATTTTTCAGACTACTCGCATCCGTTACTGTTCCGATTACAAAAAACACACTAAAATTGTATTTTTTTTGCATCTTTGAACAACCCCATGTTTGTCGTATGGCTTCGCGTTGTGGCAAATTTGATGTTTTACTTAATACTGTGATAACAGTGCTTCTCTCAGATTCCTGATTACACTTTAGCTTCGGTTGAATCAAAAATGGTATACCTATCCTTTCTCCTTGTTGCATAAACGATCGAAGACCAGGAAGGGATAACGTTTCAGCTGTTTGATCTTTTAAAGAAACACTTCGCAAGGTCATCAGAACAGAGCTTAGTATAATTCCTCCTAGAATGACTTTTCGTCTCTCTTTGTTAACAAACATCTACAAGAAAACAAAAAATATAATATCATCTTTTGCTTATAATAATGTCATCTTTTACTTATGATAATATCATATTTTACTTATAAAAGCATAATTTATCTACTTATAATAACAATTATAATAATCGTTTACTTATCATAATTTCTATCCTGACAGGGAGTGAAGAGTTACTATTATCTTGTTTAATATATTTAGCATTACCATATCTTCCTGAAAATATCCTATTTCACAAATAGCGATTTGTTTTTATTTTGACCAAAAATAACTATTTCCTTTATAGTAGTATGTCATATGTAACAAATACTTACATGATACTGTCTAACTAAAAATATTGAACATCATCTATAATCATTTCATTAATAATGATACTAATTTTGATTATAATAATATAATCTCTTAAAGTTGAGGACTTTCTTATAAAATCAATAATATCTTTCTTCAATAACAATAGTGCAAATGGTTTATTCCAACTGCATTATAACGGTCTTTACTTGTTTGCACGTATAAGTACATAGTTTTGTTTAGATAGGGCTGTCCCAGCTAAGTAGATCTTGAACAATTAAATATTACAGTGTTTATGTTCAATTGTGTATAACAATGTATTTTTTCATTTTATATTTAGACGGTATGCGTACAAATTTATAATTACAGTGTGTGTGTAATTTTACGATTAAACTGTTCATGTATAATGATATAATGACAGTGTTTTGTACAATTGTATGCTACAGTGTGTAAGTATAATTTTATAAATACATTGTTTATTTACTATTGTATTTAATATTGTATATCTTCAATTCCTTTTTATATGAAGAATTTTATAATTACGACGTGGATGTATAATTTCATAATTTTGATTTTGTAAAATTTAATTATTACAATGTATATGATTATTTTTATAATGCCAGTGTATATCAACAATTTTATGATAACGGTGTATAATTTCATGAATAAAATGTTTATAAATACCTTTATACTTACCATGTCTATGTAAAATTTTATAAAGACAGTCTATATGTACAATTTTATAATTGCAGTGTATGTGAACACTTTTATAATAACATTGTTTATGTAGAATTTTATAGTATTCTTATGCACACTTTTTCATTTCAATCTTTATTACAGTGTTTTTGTACAATTATAAAACTACATAAGCACACTTTTTAATTGCAATATATATTAAAGTGTATATGTACAATTTTAATTTATAATTACAGCGTATTTTTAACGTTTCACTGGCACGCTTGGCCCATGCTATTTAATGCAGCAATGTAATCGATCGTTTAACGTTGTACGCTTTGGGTATTGACAATCCGTAAATATTTGATATAAGCATTAAGATATATTTATTTCGTAACAAATGACTCAACGGATGTGATTTGTCTACACTTGATTATGATATGAATGTAACGTAATAGTAGACCTCCATATCAAAGATGTTTTTTTTTATTATGTAACCAGCATCCTCAGGCCCCGTCACCAGTCCGCTCTTATCGGCAGATAGTTTTTAAGATGTTAAGGCTTCGATCCAAGGCCGGTGATAATCTGGACCGATAATCATGTTATAATAAATCTCCATTCAAAATTGTTACTTGTTTACTAAATATATTCCTTCCTTTTAGTTTTGTCAGGATTCTGTTGTGGTGTTGCTATTTAGGTGTAACAGTTGTGTGTTGATAAAAAGAAAAAATCTTGATTATTTAAAAAAAAGCAGTTCCAGATTTTTGTATAAGGACAGTGTAGATTTTCGCTGGGACTTCGTCAAATTGCCTTTGCTTAAAATGCACTTTTTGATTCATGCGTTTCGGTATTATATTCATACATCTTTTCGAAACTTTTTTCGAAATTCTACTGTTAGTCTGTTTGACCCTAACTATTCATTACATTACGTTTTATTGTATCACTTTCAATTTCACTTTTTTGCATTTATTGAAAATAAATCATAATTAATCATAAAATCATATTATTATATATATATAGCAAATAGAACGTGCATCAGATGAATGCAATCGAATTAGAAATTTGAGACTAGAATTTTTAAGTTTTATTTTAATTGCTATTACTTTTTACAGTTCAAACATTGTATGTCTTAGACAGACATTTTGATGCTAAAGAAATGTCTGGACTTGGACCGTTTTTTCAAACCAAACAGCACTGTTAAATTGAATTTGGTTCATTTAAAAAAAATATGAATGCTACTTACCTTACAAACCAACTCATTTCAATATGAGAAAAACCGATAGAATCTGTACATATCAACATATCTTAGGAAGTCAGTAGGAAAAATATATTTATGTATAATATGTTATTATATAGAAGCTGCATCAACTTTGGTCAAAACTTACCATTACAGATCGAGCATACCGTCGTGACGTCATGGTAAACATTTCCAAATTGTGAACAAGGATAACTTTTAGTTCAAAGTTAATTTCCTTTGTCAGGGGTTTCACAGTATGGCGTGGTACTAAGATCTTTTTGTAAAGGGTTAATGATATGTCCTGAAGTCCTGAAAATAATTCAATAATCCTTGCTAGAAAAATAATTTGAATATATAATAGATCATTGTGAGAGGCCAGAGATACGGAATAAGGAAAAACAAGACTCAAGAAACTTTATTTAGAGTCGCATACATATAAACAAGAAACTTAAGCTCTTGTGAGCTATTATTGTGACAAACATATGTATATAAATCTGTAAAACATTATAATGTCATATGAAACAGGGTAATCACAGATAGCTTATTCATTAATGGCTTTAAATCCCATCACAATGAAAGGAAAAAGTGTCACATCCTATGTTTCCTAAGTGATTTGTCATCACCTTCCTACCGAGGCCCCCGAGACATGACACTTTAGATACAAATAAATTAGCAGAAGAACCGAGTTGATATGAAATTCAACATCAAATAAACAAAGAAGCATAAAGAATAATATACTCAAGAAGACATTATTTACAGGTGAACACTTTCGTAAAACGCATGTATTACCTACGAATAAGGTTTAAATCAATAGAGCTGAATAAAAGAAACAAAGCTAATAAAGCACCGACAGAATATACACGTATATAGTTTGTATTAAAAATGATTCGATAGCATTGGTATAAATTAATTCTGTACATATTCTGAGGGGGAAAAGAAAAGCTACAATTGTATTGACAGATTAACAAGATGAAACCTGATATCAATGATGTAAGTTAGTTGTGTACCGGATTTTTAAAAAAAAAATATGCAGAATAACAAAAAAATCTGCAATAGTATAAAATAGATATACGTTGATAGAATTATAGAATAAGAGCAGCATGATGTAATTAAAATAAATCTTGGGTAGCAAAGATAACCAGGGCACACTAGTCTTTGCTGATATTGCAAAGGCATATTGGGCTATCCCAGGAGTTGAACAGCCTCCTAAATTTCCCCTGAATTGTTCATCTCTTCGGAATTCATTGGGCAGATTCCTCAAATACAACGAAATCCACTCCACTTATTATTCAACATTTAATGCCAACTGAATTTGGTAGGGTTATGTAATGGCAATGACATACGATGGTAAATATTATGTATAAACCTTAAAACTTTTTCATCTTTCTTCCACTTTCCATAGAACAGAAATGCTTCACTAAGGGACACTAATTAAAATTTGAAATAACTAAATAGAGATAAATCAAAAGCCTACCTTGTGGCAATATTTTGTTATTAACGATGATAATAGCAATGTCGATAGATGACGGTGTATGAAGGCAACATGTTGCTGTTGTTGTTGTTGATGATGATGATGATGATGATGATGATGATGATGATGATGATGATGATGATGATGATGATGATGATGATGACATCAGGTGAAGGATTAGGATGATGACTAAGTGTTATTTTGAATGTGTAGATGTGAGTGTGAGAGAAAGTGTTATTTTTGTACATATAAAAAACAATTGTGAAAAACATAAAATTACAAAAGAAAGCCTACTTTCTTTTGATAAAAAATAAACCATTTTGCTTCCAAATTGATAGTTGTTGTCAAAAACCGTGGACAGGTCTATCAGTATGACAGCCACCCAAATCCCCGGGAGCAGGGTATCCACCAGCAGATCAATGTACCTCTGTGATACAAATAGACACCACTAAATAATACCTGATCAATGTACCTCTGTGATCAAAATAGACATCACTAAATAAAAGCTGGTCAATGTACCTCTGTGATTAAAATAGACATCACTAAAAAATAGCTGATCAATGTATTTCTATGATCAAACTGACAAATGTATAATACCTGATCAATGTACCTCTGTGATTAAAATAGACATCACTAAAAAATAGCTGATCAATGTATTTCTATGATCAAACTGACAAATGTATAATACCTGATCAATGTACCTCTGTGATCAAAATAGACAACTATATAATACCTGATCAATGTACCTCTATTATAAAAATAGACACCACTAAATAACAGCTGATCAATGTATTTCTGTGATCAAAATAGACAACTAAATAATACCTGATCAATGTACCTGTGTTATCAAAATATGCAAGTAAATAATACTTGATCAATGTACCTCTGTGCTCAAAATAGACAACTAAATAACACCTGTTCAAGGTTTCTTTGTGATCAAAATAGTCATCACTAAATAATACCTGATCAAGATACCTCTGTTATTAAAATAGACAACACTAAATTATACCATATTTAGGTACATCTGTTATTAGAATAGACACCACTTAATAATAACTTATCCAGGTACCTCTGTTATTTAAATAGACACCACTAAATAATACCTGATCAAGGTACCTTTGCGATCAAAATAGACATAAATACATAATACCTGATCAAGGTACCTTTGTTATCTAAACAGAAACCATTAAATTATACCTGATCAAGGTACCCGTATATATCTAACCTTGTTTAATAACATATAAAATGTCAGACATTTACACCGCAGACATATAAGTTTTGAAGATAAATACTCATCAGTGCTTTGGTAGGTTCGTGTGAAGCTGGTGGTAGGTACAGACACCTTTCACCAAGACGACGGAGGTTCGATTCCCTTATCGGACAAGAATAAGTACTGGGTCACCTGCCCGATCATTACGGTACATGTATTCTTCGGGTAACCTCCCACATTACGACCCTCTACGCTCTCCCATCTGGGCCACAAAAGATCGGTTTAAGACGAATAAACATGTACATAATTGTTGTATTTTAAATAAAGAACAGACAATCAGGCTTTAGCAGTATCGGAATTTTAAGTGGTTATATAATTGTAGTAAGGATGTGCCCAATCCAACAACAGTACACATGAGATAGAATGCATGTTAGTGTATATTGACACCAAATTGATCAAATTACTTTATTGTGGGAACGTGTTTTATTGCATCGATAAACCCAGACCTGTCTAACAAATATTCGCTGATTACTCCCAAACATAAATACATGAATAAATAAATGGGCTGCGTTTGTTTCAAATATATCTTAAAAGTCCCTGTCTAGACCAACGCGGAGCTACAAGCAAAAACTCGTACGATTTTAGCGTGTATCCATTTATAACAAAAACAATTAGGGATTGGTGCAATTATTCCGGATGATAAATTCTAGCGACCATTTTGTCTGGCCAATCACAGGCGTAAAGGAGGAAATGTTCCTCCGATTTTCTCAGTATGACCATTTTTATCCATCTAAAGGCGATCGTATAGATTCAGTCATTGCTTGCGTGTTTGTTTTATATTCTTTGTTGATACCCCTACCATGAGTTTGCTAAGACGAATTAATGGGAGATAATTGGACCTTAAAAGTTATCATGTTGTCTATAGGTATGCAATGACTATATACATGTATGTATATTTATGAATGAAATTGTTTTCGTGCTGAAACTCCCATTCTGTGCTCAAGCCCATTTCCTTATTCCGGTAATAAATTTATAAAACTTTACATTTTGACAATTTTGGAAGAATTTTGGAAAAGAATAAAACCTTACACTGTTTTCAATGCTTCCACTTGACTATTTGGTTTAGTACAGAATTCATGCTTAAGTACGACTGCAGTTTCAGAATACTGTGTCTTTGATTACTCAATTACTTCTCTCCCTATTCTGAACACAGCTAATGAGATAGAATTGAACATTTTATCAGTACCAAGAAGCGATCAAAAACTAACTGTTAAATGTTAGAAATGTGTGAACCTTTGAATGCATACCAAAGCAGTATTTTCAGTCCAATGGTGAATTAATTATGACTTTAGATACATACTGTAAAACAATATAAAAAATAAGTTGTTTGTTAACAATGTTAAGAAATGGATATTGCGGTGGCTATGTCCTTTTTCGAACGACAGGGGTAAACCAAGCCTATATAAATACTTGTATTCTTACTTATGCCAAATATCATAACATAATGGTGGGATGCTAGCATGTATTTATTTATTGATGCTAAAGATAATAATGAAATGGGGAGATGCAAGCATGTATCTATTAATTTTTGTGTGTCCTTAAAGATTTATGCTAAAAATAGTGAAATGTTAAGATGCCAACATTTTATTTATTTATTTTATGCCAAAGATCGTAACAAATGGTAACATGCCAGCATTTATGTATTAATATATTTATTTATTCATTTATTTTTTGAAGAGTATGAAATTGCAAAATTCAAGCTTTGGTACATTTTGGACGCTTGTATTCGAAAACACTTATGGACGAGATCGATAGTTCTACAAATATTTCAAGTGACCCCTGGGTGCAATAAAAAAAAAGCAAATATGGGGACTCCTGAGTTTTGCTATAATCATAAACGAATATGATCCATTCCTTGTTTTGTTTATATTGGGTATCGGTTTCAGAAAAGACTTAGCCAGCATACAAGTATTTGTTTTGATTCGTCCGGAATATACTTACATTTCCCTGTGTATTTAATTGTATTTACCAAATAGAAATAATTCATTTGATACATTATATATATTACATTCATATTTTTTCTAGTGGGAGTGGAAGGAATATGCTGAGACGTATACTTCATATTCTTTGTTAACGAAGAGGTTTTCGAAGTGGTTATATTATGAGATTTTTCCCTAGATTGATACACGTTTTAAATAGCTTACCATATGATTAACTTTAAACAAATACCTAAGAATTTTGTCACCAACTTAGAATCTTAAAGTGAAATGGTTATCTGCCCCTGAGTCTGGCAAATAAAAATAATTCGAAATGAAACAGATTCACTATTACTAATTCATTAAATAATCTTGGAACTTCACACCCTGGTTCTTCGAAAATTGAGTTGTTATAGATTTTAAAGACAAAAGCGTATATCTTGGTCTATATTTGAAAAGTATCTCCTTAAGGAAAAGTTTTATATTTTGGCCCTGTCCCTAGGGAGTTTGGCGACCTTAATTGACCCTGCCCCAGGGGAGTTTGGGGACACTATTTGGCCCTGCCCCTTGGGAGTTTTCGAACATTATTTAGTTCTGCCCCTAAGGAGTTTTGGAACACTATTTGGCACTA